GCGGGTTCTGGGTGAGAGCGAGCATCTTGGAGCGGAGAGGGTCTTCCAGGGCGACTTGGATGTCGTAGACGGTGGGGGTCGGGTCCTTGTGGTAGTCTTCGTCGACGCGGATGGTGTAGGGGAGGTGGATGGGGTCGATGGGGCTGGTGTGTGGGCCGATGCTTTCGGGGATTTGGGGGAAGAACATTTGGTCGCGGCCGAAGATCTGTGTGGTTGGGTTGGGTTAGTTTGGTTTTTGGATTTACATATGGAAATGGGGAGGGGAGGTACCGATCGGAGACGATGGTCACAGCGGACGAGTCGCTTCTCTTCGTCTTCTTGTAGGCCCATGGCGCGGATGTAGTCCCAGATGCCGAGGACAATGCCGCTTCGTGTTTCTTCCTCCACGTCTAGTACTTCTGCTAGCTCTTTGCTGAGCTTGTACCGTTCTGGTGTCTCGTCGCGCACGAGACTGAATGTCACGTTCAGGTTCTCCTGTGACGCGCGGGCGAACTGCATCGAGTCAAAGTCTGCCGTGGGTGGCAGGGTGACGGTGTTAGGGGGTAATTGCGGCTTGGTCCAGGTGATTGGCTTGACTTCCTCCGGACTGGCGGTGGAGGACTTGTCGAAGTCGACGGTGATGGATTTGAAGAAGTGCGAGAAACGCTGCTTGGAGCGCTTGTTGGACGACTTCTTGGTCGTGGCATTGGCGTTAGGACCATCTTGCTCCATTGCGTCGCCGTTGTCTGTCTGCTCGGTAGCTTCGTCGTCACTGTCCTCCGGGGCGGTCGGGTCGCTGTCGTCGTCTAGAAGACGTCCCTCGATGCGCACCTTGTACCGTCCGGAGCCGGGGTTGCTTCCGGGGGCGGCACCGTTGGCAGTCTGCCAGGGTTGGTTTTCGACAGTGTTGGAGATCCAAATGCGCATCGTGCGGTACTTCTTGACAGTCTTGCTGATGGAGTCCTGGATGTCCAGGCGCTTACGGACAATGGCTGCATCGAGGCGCTTCTCCAGGTCGCGGAGGCTCTTGTACTGCTGCACGCCTTCGCCGATGATTACTTCTTCAATGCCGTCGGGGATGTTCTTGTCGGTGGGTTTGCGGCTGCGACGCAGGGCGGCGTCATTGGGAGGCTGCATGTTGCGCTGGGGAGGGATGTATTGAGGGGGAACGGCGTGCTGAGGCATGGGGACAGGCATCGCAGCAGCTATACGAGGGAGAAGAAGGAGTTAGAAGAAAAAGTTCCGTCGGGGTTTGATTGGGTTACAGGGTGGAGGCTCACCAGGACCTGGAGGACCGCGACGAGGCGTGGCAGGGGAGCGTTGGGCGGCTTGTGGGGGGAACCCACGGCCGTAGTTGGGTGGGATCGGGGCATTCATGGTTGGTCCGTGATGAGACGGTGAGGCCGCAAGGGAAGATCCGCGAATTGGAGGATGGAGATCCTTGGGGCGATGAGACAGACCGCGCAGGGCCGGAGAGATGGGCGTGTAGTTGCTGGGCGGACGAACAGAAGCAAGTCAGTCACTTGCTTTCGCGATTCTTTTGCCGCGGTCGCGCTATTCCTCTTTGGGATGGTCCAGTAACCACATCAAACTACACTCTATAATTACTTTTCTCTAGTTATAGGATCAACAATCCTCATATGTTCATTTGTAGTAATGCTGTTTCATTTCCAAGCCATTAACTCAATAATCACCTGCACCACCCGCATCATCTGCCTTTTCTTACTTACTCCAGCAGCGATGCTTGATTAGTGTACAGCTCTTCCACCACATTGCTCAACTTCTCGATCGTGTCCAACGCAGCATCGTATGCCTGATCACGCTCCGTCTCATCGTAGACAATTAGACATCCAGCCCCCTGATCGAGCACTCCGATAATCACCTTGTCCAGGATCATCTGGGAGAGCTTCCGCTCCACCTGCTGCGTGTCCAGTCCAACCATCTTGGCGATGTGGTCCAGCTCAACCCGGCTGAAAGGTTCAATAACCTTGATCAGGTTCTGCTCCAACATGGCATCATACAGTCTGCGAAGGTGGTTGCGGATAAATGTATCACTGCCAAGCTCGAACCGGTAGTCCGAGAGCGCCTTCTCGTACTCCTCTAGGGACCGGTTGGCATGGGCACGCGCCACAGCCTTCATGGCCTCGAGTCGCGGGCTGGCATATTTCTGAGCCTGCTTCGATCCCAGCAAATTCGTCACATCGTCCACCAGGTTCAACATGATCTTGCATAGCAGCATATATTGGAGGGCCGCAGTGGCCTTCTCTCCCTCATCAAGGGAGCTGTACCCTTCCAGAGCCTCAATGAAATAGGAGAATGACGTGTTGAAATCCTTGTCCTCGGCGTGTAGCATACCACTCTGCATATCCAGACCGGCCTGCAGGTTCGGCGGCGTGTAGACGGAGGCGGCCGATGTCCGAGCTGCCGTCAAAGCAGCACGTGCCTTGGCCTGGTTGCCCAATGCATGGTACACCCGCGACTCCAGCAGCTGCACCTCAACCAGCATGAGCTTGTCATCCAGGCGCTTTAGCTCGCGGAGGAGGGAGTTGATGAGGGTGAGCGCATCGTAGTAGGTCTGTTTCTGCATGTAGATGGCGACAAGGCGAGTCTGGAGGTTCTGACGAAGGAAGGACCTCCGCTCGGCGATGGCCCACTCAATGCATGATTGGATGACGGAGACTTGGATATCGAGGGTGTTCGGGATCTCGCTGAACAGGTCCAGCAGCTGGCGGACTATCAGAGGACGGGTGGTTAGCAATCCTGGAAGCAATACATTAACCCGGTCAGTCCAACATACCCAGCTTAGCCGTCTTTGCCTTGGCGAATGAAGAGAAAGAATCGCGGCTGGTCTTGATGAGTTCGGCAATCTCGTGGGGCTTCTTCTGGTCCCGGTAGAGCTCTCCCAGCAACACCAGGGCATTCTCGTAATCGCGCGATGAGGCCTCAGACGAACCGGGACCTTGCGCGAGAATTTCCTTGAGGATGCTCTCGGCCTTGGAAGGGTCGCTCTTCACGAGACCCCGGGCTTCGTCTATCCGCCCAGCGGTCGTCGAAGAGGGTGCCATGACTAGATCGGGGCTGTGAGGGGCGGCGGAGGAAATCTGGAGGGATTGCGGGTAGTTTTCAATCTGCCAACGGGGTGACAGGTAATGCACAGAGCAGGAAGGCCCTAGACAAGATGAGAGATGAGATGATGAGGTATAGAGGATGATGGCAGGACAGGAAGCTTACAGGTTTGGCTATCGTCACTGGCGGTTGGAGCTGCAGCTGCCGCCCTCACCGCCCGCGGCTTGGCGAGCCAACCAGAATCGGCGGTACCCGCCCAGTAGAAAAAAAGCGCCTGGAAATTTTATGTCCGATATAGTTTTAGTTTTCTTTCCTCCAGCTTCCTTTGCAGAGAAAACCACCGGACGCCATGGTAAGTCAATTAAAATTGCTCTATCGTCATCCGGTGATACTAATATACCTTCCAGAAAATCAAAGCTCTTTCTCGTCCCACTTCCTCGCAACAGGCTCCGGGAACCGCTGTCGTTCGACAGCCCCGAAACCTCGACCCGGCGCAGCATCCATTCGAGCGGGCTCGTGAATACACCCGTGCTCTCAATGCTACCAAGTTAGAGCGCCTGTTCGCTGCGCCCTTCTTGGGCCAGATGGGCGAAGGCCATGTGGACGGTGTGTATACTATGGCCAAGGACCCAGGCTCTCTGGAACGGTTTGCCAGTGGTAGTGGTGATGGTGTGGTCAAGGTGTGGGATTTGACCACCCAGGGAGAGATCTGGAATACCCAGGCACACGACAACATCGTCAAGGGTGTGTGCTGGACCCCCGATCGGAAGTTGCTTTCTTGCGCGAGCGACAAGACCGTCAAGCTTTTCGACCCGTACAACTCGGCACCCGAAGCACCACCGCTAGCAACCTACCTGGGCCAGGGCGCTTTCACCTGCCTCACGCACCATCGGGACCTGCCCTACTTTGCCGCATCCTCCTCTCAGATCTCTATCTATGATCTCTCCCGTCCTTCCTCTACGCCGTCCCAGACCCTCCATTGGCCCACCAACGTGGATACCATCACTTCCATCGCTTTCAACCAGACCGAGACCTCCATCCTCGGTTCTACCGGTATTGACCGTTCGATTATCATGTACGACCTCCGGACATCGTCCCCTCTTCACAAGATGGTTCTCCGCCTGGCGTCGAACGCGATCTCGTGGAACCCCATGGAAGCGTTCAACTTTGCCGTTGCCAACGAAGATCACAACGTCTACATGTTCGACATGCGCAAGATGGATCGCGCATTGAACGTGCTCAAGGACCACGTCGCCGCTGTGATGGATGTGGACTTCAGTCCCACCGGTCAGGAACTTGTCACTGCCTCTTACGATCGGACGATCCGCTTGTGGAACAGATCCACGGGCCACTCTCGCGACATCTACCACACCCAGCGTATGCAACGGTATGTATCTACTTTTGCTTCCCTTCTCCAAGAATCCATAATGCTGACTATGTTCTACAGTGTTTTCTCTGCCAAGTTCACACCAGACAACAAGTACGTCTTGTCCGGCTCCGACGACGGCAACATCCGCCTTTGGCGCGCAAACGCATCCGACCGCAGCGGAGTAAAGAGCGCTCGTCAACGGGCCAAGCTCGAGTATGACCAGGCCTTGATCCAGAGATACTCGCACATGCCGGAAATCCGCAGAATCCGCCGCCAGCGTCACGTGCCGAAGCCGATCAAGAAGGCGCGCGAGATCAAGCGGGAGGAGCTGATGGCGATCAAGAGACGCGAAGAGAACGTGCGCAAGCACACCAAGAAGGAGAACCTGCCCAAGAGGCAGAGCGAGCGCGAGAAGATGATCCTGGCCAAGGAGCAATAAATGCTCTGCCCGGGACGTCCATCTGGATGATCGTGCGGAACGGCTGCGCTCAGAGACCAAATAAATTGTGGCTCAAGTATATATACATTGCATGGACATGATACAGTTGGGGTATATTCTTATTGCAGCTGTTGTTCAGCTTCGTCGTCAGTCCTCTTTCACGTGATCCAACTCCGTCTGCAACTGCTGGCTGGACGAACCAGCCCTGCCGGGTTTGGACGACGCCTGTGCTACCGCGCCATCAATCCCGCTTAGGTACCGCGCCAACCGCTGCACGCTCGCCGGCAACACCGCATACCAGTTCACCAGCATGGCAAACGCAGGCAACCTTATCACGCCACCCCTGCCGCTGTCGACAGCCGAGACAATAGCCTGCGCGACCTGGACTGGCTCCAGCACGGGGGCAAAGAACCGGTTGGGCGTCTGGACGGATTCAAACAGCGGCGTTGAGATCTGGCCCGGCTCCACCAGAACCATCTTCACTTTTGCATCGTCCCCGGATTGTCGAAGTTCGGCCTCGAGCGAGCGATGCAACGCGCTCAACCCAGCCTTACTAGCCGAGTAATCCGCCAAGCCAGCCGCACACAGCTGCCCGAGCACCGAACTCACCGTGACAATAGTCCCACCGTCCGGCGCAGCCAGCATATACGGCAAGAAAACCTGATAGGCATGAACGGCGGCGAGTAGATTGGTGTTGATAGTTTTCTGGAAAGCCTCGGGAGAGAGCTGTTGCAAGGGTAGACCGTTGATTCTTGCAGCTGCGCAATGGATCAAAATGGTAGGAGTGCCCAACTACCCCATCCCATCACATCAAGTTAGTAGTTAGCCATCAGTCATCAATCAATTTAAATTACCAGACTCCTTCCCTCCCACCATATATATATATATATATATATAAAGTAGGAAGTAGGGAAAAGAAAGAAAGATACATACCTCCACCCCAACCCTCCCCACCACCCCCTCCAAAGCCCCCCTATCCGAAACATCACAAACAAAACACCCCCCCAACCCCATCTCCTCGACCTCATCATTCGATATCCCGCGAACATCCAAAACCGCTACGGAGGCGCCACGCAGCGCATATATCCTCGCAATGAGTAAACCCAACCCGCTCGCCCCGCCCGTCACGACCACCACTTCATTGGAGAGATCGACGGTGCGCGGGGCCCCGTAGGCTAATTGGTGGTTGAGTGTGCCGAGGATGTAGATGAGGGTGAGGAGGGCGGAGTAGATGATGGCGATGATGAAGGGGAGGGAAGTGTAAGGGGTTGCTTGGGCGCGGAGGCATAGGAGGAGAATGTATGAGGGGATGGGGTGGAGGATGGTGCGGGTGAGGGTTGTGAGGAGGAGGTCGATGGTTAGGGGGGGGTTTGTGGTGGTGGTTGTGCTGGTGCTGGTGGTGGGTTGGAGGGGGTGGGTATGGATGAGTTTTGGGGTGGTCATTTTGGGGAGGGAGTTTTAGGGATGGTTGGGTGATGGTGTAGGTGTGGTTGGGGGCATGGTAGGGGGGTTGTGGTGGTGGTGTTTTGCGGAGGCTGCTGCGGCTTGGGGACTGTGATTGGTTGGTTAGGAGTTGTCGGCGCTTAAATAGGGGGGGGGGGTGTGATAAGTGACTTACTGGGTGCGATTGTAGAGGAGGATTGAGTGTGGACTTCTGGTCTGGTTTGTAGGGTGTCAATTGGAGTTTCTGACAGTCGGAGCTTGGAGGAGGGAATGAGGAGAAAGAAGCTCCGGCCAGATGATTTAGAGATGTGGGGCTGTTGATGGGAGTGGTTCAGTTCAGTTCAATTCAGCTCAGCTCGTGGCTGAGTTAAGGTTGTGTAAGGCATGCATAGTGCATTTGCCTTGATTATCTGGCACTTTGATTTCGGAGATTGATAATTCAGTTAACTCTTATTTTTACGTTGCCGTCAGCTGTGTCATGAACAGCCGATGAGCGCGACCCATGATCGGGATACATACAAAGTGCGGCGAGCTCCGCCATAGACTGCTGTCACCCGAAACACCACTTTCTATCACTCACAATATTTAACACAATATATTATAATATACCAGAATGCCTCCGCCTACTCTTACACCCGTCAAGCGCATTCAGAATGTCCGACTCCCCGGCAGAGACTCAACTTGGGACATTGCCGTCTCGCGCCCCCATGATGCTCCGCACAGCATCATCACATCCATCACCCCGCACCCCAATGCTGAATCAGATCGAACTGCACCACTCGCCCTCCCAGCTCTGACACATCCACATATTCACCTCGATAAAGCATTTATCCACAACTCCCCCGAATATGCACATCTTCTTCCCTCCACCGGCTCGTTCGCCGAAGCGCTATCCTTTACCACGAAAGCAAAGCAGCAGTTTACGCTGGAGGATCTCCTGAGACGCGGAGAATGGCTGATTGCAGGATCTGTATCCGCGGGAGTCACGGCGATGAGAGCATTCGTGGAGGTAGATCATACTGTAAACCTAACTTGTCTTGAAGCCGGTATCGCTCTCAAGGATGAGTGGAAAGAGGCGTGTGCAGTGCAAATAGTGTCATTTGCGCAGGATCCGATATTCTCGGGTGAGCATGGGAACCATAACCGTCGGCTCATGGAAGAAGCCGTGCGACAGCCGCAGGTGGATGTCATCGGGACAACACCATACGTTGAGTCGTCGATCGATGCATCGAAACAGAATATTATATGGGCGATTGAGCGTGCCCTAGAGTGCAGAAAGCATGTGGACATTCATCTCGACTATAACCTCGATACTGGGAAGGAGGCACTGGTATGGTTTGTTTTGCACACGCTGAAGGAAAAGGGGTGGACATCGCAGTCAACAGATAAGCGGGTCATGCTGGGGCACTGCACGCGACTGACGCTGTTCAGTGATGAAGAATGGGGGCTTCTTGCACAAGAGATCCGGGATAATGACCTTCCAGTCAGCTTTGTTGGGCTACCGACGAGCGACATGTACATGGCCTCTCCACCATCTTCGAAAAGCCATGATCGACCACGGGGTACATTGCAGGTCTTGGAGATGATAAACAAGTTTGGTTTGGACACGGTGATCGGAATCAACAATGTGGGCAACGCTTTTACGCCCTGGGGCTCTGAAGATCCCCTGTCGTTGGCGTGTCTAGGAGTGGGTGTCTATCAAGCCGGGACCAAGGCGAATGCCGAGCTATTGTACGAATGCGTGTCAACCAGAGCTCGCGCAGCAATCGGACTTTCGTCATCCGAGGCCTTGGCCTTGAACCAGGGAAGTCGTGCAGATATTCTGCTATTCTATGATGTGGATGACACCGGTTGTAACGTGTCAAGACCGCGACACGGTGTTGCAGGCATTGTCTGGGACCCGCCAGCCAAGACTGGCAGAGAGCTCGTAGTTGGTGGTCAACTAAAGGCTTCTCCATGTTCAATGTGTCCGAAATCTGCGTTTGACTTTGTGTAGCGGCGAATTATCGGGAGGCGTCATCTTTGGCGTATTGAAGGTTGCACAGCAGATAGTGTATTGTATTGCTAACCCAAAGCTTCACACGCTTCAGATATCTATAATTCGCTAGACCACATAAGCGATGAAGATGATCTAAAGAATCTAAGACGTCGGGTGCCCAATGTCAAGAGTAGACCCAAGGGTGAACGTAAATATAAATGAAGTTGACGCTGGTGTCATGTTCCCCACACTGGAACCATTTCGTTCAGCTGAGCGCGTACCTGCGCAGTTCCGTGTAGCGAATAGCTGAAGGTAGGACAAGCAGGGTCTTCGCGCATGATATCCATGTCATCCACATTTAGCGATAGCCGGAACCCGTTCCCAGCGCGTGGATACAACCGGTGCTCCTGAAATTCATATTCCGAGTCGTCATCAGAGATCTCCTCATGCTGCCTTTGAGCAGACGAGGAAGACGTAGATTCGGGTATAGAGTCCTCATTGTATTTGTTTACTTCAGTAGACGCAGACGCGGAATCCCTTGTACCATGGCTTGTCGAAACATTACCCGACACCGATGTCGACGGAGTCGGGGCGTCGGAAATTGGCAATCGAAACGCGAACTTGGATGACTGGAGATCCCTCATATTCTCAGGAAACATCGGCAATATCGGATTGTTGTCCGAAATAGTCATCAGGAGCTCAACGAGGGTTGCATGCGACAGACCCGACAGGAAGCCTCGTCGCTCATCAGCCGAAAATTCCGCTGCACCCACCTCGCCTTTGGGAATTGATAGCGGAGGATAATTAGGGACTAATGGCCCAGATGTGAGGTCAGGATTGCTCCGCACAACTGTTGGCTGAATGACAGAAATTTGGACAGGCCGGCATTCCCGACAGAACCATTCCTTCTCCTTGACCGCAACAACGTCTGCGCCAATAGGAGGATCGTGACACAACTGATGCCATGCGGCATTGCACTCGTCACAGAATACGATCGAATTGCTCAATGGGCTATGACCCCTCTGACAATGCAAGCAAGTGATGATCGCATCTTTTCCTCGGCGGTGGATACGTTTACGCTTTCGTGCGACGGCTGCATAATCAGACGCGTCCGCCGAGTTGCTTACCTCCTTGGCTACCGCAGGAGCTGACGGTGCAGGTACATATAACGAAGGCCGGTTGACCAAGCGGCCAGATTTTGTTTGCGTCGCTGTTGGTGCAACATCTGATTCGTCGCTACTGGAGTCACCGGCCCTTATGATATCTTCCCCATCACTATCATTATTTCGTTTGCGCTTCTTGCCCCGCTTGGTACCATTTGCCGCACCCTTTCGCTGGCGCGAGCCAGTTGCGGTTTGTGGCCTCTTGGACTTTGCTGCTGGCTGTGGCTCCTGTGGTGTAGGCAAAGGTGTTGGTGCTGGTGCTGCACCATTCGACAATGTCCCATTTGGTTTAGGGGCAATTTTGATCTCAGCTGTGGGTTCTGCTGATATGGGTGCAGTCAATTGTGTTGGTGCTGAAACCGCACCAACAGGTGTTGTGCTTGGTTTTGGAGCGATATTGACTGGAATTGGAGACGCCGACTGCCGTGATACTGCATCGACGGGCGTTGAACTTGTGCGTTTTAGGTCGATATTGACCGGGACTGGAGACCCTGAATGTCTTGATACTGCGTCAATTGGTGTTGTGCTGGGCGGTTTTGGGGCGAGGTTGGGTAGATTTGTAGGCTTTACTATGTCTCCTGTATTTCCTTGAGGCGCTGGGGAGGCAGGCTGAGGAACCGCCGGTGGCGCCACAGTGTTCGAATACACGAACGGCGCCGTAGGCAATTCAATAATTGTAGAAGAGGCCCTCATTTTCCCCATTGTGGAGTTGCTATTCTGGCTTTCGAACGTCCGAGTAACTGTTGATGGGTTCCATGTAACAAATCTATCATTATCATTTCTCTGCTGTGGTCCTTTGAGGTTCCCGGTGACCCGCGCCAGTAACTCGGTAGTAGCTGCAGAGAGCCGGGGAATCTCAACCCTCTTTGAGGGTACGCTCGACGGCCGTCCGGGTAAGGAGGGAGGCAGTCCCAGGGAGGAACCAATGCTGATGCTGCGCGAGGAATCCGAAGGGGGTGAGCCAGAAGTGGTGGTAGTGGTATGAAGTGTTCCGTGGGCTGATGAAGGCGCTGTTTCTATAGACGCCTGGGAGGAAGGAGCTCCATTGTGCGGTGACATATCCCCAAGTCGGGTCGATGTGCACAGTTGCTCAGTCGTCTTTAGTAGACTTGCTCCGGACACTGCACCTGAATCCTCACTGTTATCGGAGTGCGACAAGAGAAGTCATCATGAACGGACCCAAATTTATATACCATCACGTGATCGTGAGGAATCCATCCCCCGCGCCCTTGACAGAACCGCCCTTCCATTGTCAAAAGCAATAATGCTCCTTTAATTGTGTAACTGCCAGCGGCACACTGTCCAATATGCATGGCCGGCTTGAGGTTATTCTCTTCTAGCTATCTCTCTATGATATCCGGGACTCTTCAGCGCGGAGGAGCCGGTAGTCGCACGAAAAACTAACCATGTAGGGATTATTCCTGCAGATGCGTGACCTTCCGGACCACCGGCTCTTCAACGCAGTCTAGACCCATCCACCAAGCGAAGTCGGACAATCAGAGCTACTGTATGATATAATCTATGCTACTATGCCATCCTTCTTCAGCCGAGCAATATCGTCCTTGCCATACTCCAGTACCTCGCCCAATATCTCGTCCGTATGTTGCCCCAGGGTTGGGGGCGGTGTCCGAATGCCAGGGGTTGCGTGGGAATACTTGATGGGTGTATTCACCAATTTGATGGGTCCACAGGCTGGATGGTCAACCTCTGCAACCATGCCTCGTGCTTGGACTACGTATACATTATCAGCAAATTGATATAATCACGGAGTCGGTTTATGTTGGATGTATAACATACCGTGGGAGTGGTTCAACGTTCCCTGAATATCATTAACTGCAGCATAGGGCATGCCGCTGCCCTCCAAGATCTCAAGCCACTCTTGCGTGGTCTTTTGCTTCACAGTTTCCTCAATCAAACCATCAATATCCGTACGATGCTTTACTCGATCACTGTTGGTAACGAATCGGGGATCGGTCTTCCATTCCGGGTGTCCAAGTCGGTCGCACAACACACCAAACAGTCTATCGTTCCCGCCTCCGAAAAGAATATCGCCATCGAGCGTCTTGTAGCTTCGGTAAGGCACAATGGACGCTTACAGACAGTCAGTAGCTAGACTTCCAGTCCATGGTATAAGCCACTTACGGTGTGCGGTTCCCCATCTTCCCGAATCCTTCTTACCACTGATCAGAGCGGAGCTGGCAATGTTCGCCAAGGTCGCAACCTGA